AGTATGACCCAGGGTGATATGGTCCATTTTTTCAAGTAATCAAATACGGCAATCAACATTATGGAAAACTAAACAAGCCCCAAAATAACATTAGAAAAATAAACACATACCGCCTGGCCCCTCTCATTAGACTGTGGGCACTGCAGGGAATCTGACGAGGTCAGAGCTCTGCAGCCGCGGGAAGATGGCGCGGGGGAGCTGCTCCGCTCTGGCAGAGGCCAAGCGCTCCTGGATGTGATGGCATTCACAGAAACCTGATACTGTCAGGCACTTATGAAACTAACTTAAAAGCAGCTTATGTTGCTTCCCTTTTGGAAAATATGCCACTTTCCCAACGGATGTGCTTCTCACACACGTTTTTAGGCAGGGAAAGGTAACTAGGCAAGGAAGTCGTTGGTCCCTGCGCGAAGCCACACACAGGTAAATGGACTCACCTGGGGAGTGGGAAACACACTTTGTACAGAAGCACAGATGCAACGTCACTGAAGAAGGCCCAACGGTCAACCTGTAATTTATCTACTAAAGAAAGAAACACCCGTTCAGAGGAAGCATGGACCACCCTGGGACTCACAGGCACTCGGAAAAGGTGAGGGCAGGGGCCAGAGCCAGTAGGATGCTGCCCCAAATCCCGGCAGTCACTGTCACTCAGCAACCAGAGGACAGCAGCCACACAGAGCACAAATGGCTCCAGGGGGAGCACCCCGAGATGAGTGAAGGCAGCACCCAATTCTACTAAACCAGGAAGCTTCACAGAAGACTTCTGACACCAGACCCAGATGGCGTCCAAGGTGCATTCATCTCACAATCTGGGGATAAAGTAGTATCAATCCAATCCTTACTCTTTCAGAAAATAGAACAGGGAATGCTTCCAAGCTGATTTGTCAGCAGAATGAGCCTAATTCCAAAACAAGACAAAGATATTACCAACAAAAGAGAAAAGTATACACCTGGTTTAAAATTCTAAAAATTTATTCCACCAAATTTAAAGAATAAAGGAGAAAGATTACATGACTATGTCAACGCATACATGAAAATCATTTGACAAAACTCCACCCAGTGAGGGAGACGCCTCTGAAACCCAAAATGGGGAGTAAGCCGTCACTGGGGAATCCTGCAAGTTCCCCAAACCAGGAACCAGGGAAGGACGTCCGTTGTCGCCACCCTCACTGAAGTCATCCTGGAGGGCTCTGGACATCTCAGTAGAAGAAATTAAAAGCATAAAGATCAGAAAGGAAGATGCATATTGTCTTTATTCATAGACATCATGAATTTTTATACAGAATCCTAAGCAATCTCAAAACCCTGGAACAAATACATGAATGAGTCAAGATTCCAGAATATAAGATCAACATACAAGCCAGTTGTTAAATACAAGCAGCAATAAATTAAAAGGTTAAAAAGTTTCAACCTAATTTAGAATACCATCAAGAACAAAGTATTTAGAAATGGAGTTTGCCAGATGAGCAAAGCCTCCAGGCAGAAAAACCATCCAATGCTGCCGAGGACAATGAAAGAACGTAAACAAATGCAGATGCCAGTCGAAGCCGGGAACTGACCCCTTCAATACCAAGACGTCAGCCTTCCAAAATTGACACCCAGGTTCAATGAACTCCCAATCGAAATCCCAAAAAGAATCATTGCAGAAATTTACACCTGAATTCTAAAAGTAATATGCAAACTTAAGAGACGCAGAAGCCAAATGATTTAAAAATAAATAAATTTAGAGGACTCACAGACTCACATTATATGGCATCAACACGTATCACAAAGCTACCTAACCAGGTCAGCGTGGAACGGGCATAGAACAGGCAAAGGTAGGCTGAACCAAACAGAGCAAAACTAGAAACAGGCTCACACACCCATGGTCAAATGATGGTAATTCAATGAAGAAGAGAGACAATTTTTATTTTCCAACAAATGATGCTAAAACAATTAAATAGCTACAGGGAAAAAATAAACTCTGTGCCTCACAAAAAGGTAATTCAAAATGGATCACATATCTCAACATAAAAAAAACTACAAAGCTTTTAAAAGAAATTACAGGAGAATGAATTTCAGAAATTACAGTAGGCAAATATTTCTTACAGAGAACACAAAAAGTCTTAAACAAAAGGGGAAAAAAAGACATATGGACTTGTTCAAAATTTAAAACCTCTTCTCATCAAAAGACACTATTAGAAAAACAAAAAAGCAGACCTCCAGCTTGTCAGAAAATCATCACAATACGTGCATCTGACAAAAGTCTCCTATCCAGAATAGCGTAAACCCAGGAGGCGGAGCTTGCAGTGAGCTGAGATCCGGCCACTGCACTCCAGCCTGGGCGGCAGAGCGAGACTCCGTCTCAAAAAAAAAAAAAAAAAAGTCTCCTATCCAGAACCACAAATCAGTAACAACAAAAACACAAACAAGAAAGCTCTAATTTTAAAATGGGCAAAAGGTGGCCCGACGCAGGGGCTCACGCCTGTAATCCCAGCACTTTGGGAGGCCAAGACAGGCAGATCACAAGATCAGGAGTTAGAGACCAGCCTGACCAACATAGTGAAACCCTGTCTCTACTAAAAATACAAAAATTAGCCGGGCAAGGTGGCGGGCGCCTGTAATCCCAGCTACTCGGGAGGCTGAGGCAGGAGAACTGCTTGAACCCAGGAGGCGGAGGTTGCAGTGAGCTGAGATTGCACCACTGCACTACAGCCTAGGCGACAGAGCAAGCCTCCATCTCAAAACAATTAAAAATAAAAAAAAAAAAATAGGCAAAGGACTTGAGTAGATATTTCACAAAGAAAACACAGGAATGGCCAAGACTTCATCAGGATAAGTCATTGGCAAAGTGCAAATTAGAGCCACAATGAGATAATACTTTATACCAGCCAAAATGGCTAAAATCTGAAAAACTGACACCACCAAGTACTGCCAAGAACATGGAGTAACTGAAACGCACACTGCTAGTGGAAATTTAAGATGATACTGCTCTGAAGAAAGTTTTGGCAATTTCTTGTCAAGTTAAACATGCATCTGCCATCCAGCCCAGCAATTCCACACTCAGGAATTTACTCAGGAGAAATGGACACAAAAATTCGCAAAGAAGACTGACTTAAGGGGGTTGTGCCCCCTTAAGGAGCTTTCTGGAATGTTCTCTATCTTGAATGTTCTATGTCTTTGGTGGTGGTTATATGGTTGTACGCTTTTGTCAAAAATCATTGAATTGTACACTTGAAATCTTAAGTCTTCTATGTAATTTTTACCTAAATTTTAAAGATGATACAATGTTAAACTTAATTGAATATTCATATAGTTTTATATACTATTCTCAAACTTTTAAATGCTCCCCCCACCAAAATTAACTGTGCACACAAACACTGCTGGCTGCCCCCCAAATCCCACTCCTTCCTTACTCACAGTACACCTAATTTTAGCCCTCTCCTTTCTTTCTCCCCTACCTGTGGCTTGGGCCCAGCGCCGTCTTGAAGCACCAGGGAAGGGACCACCATCTGGAGACCCCGAGAGGAAAGCTCAGAGGAGCCCAAGTTCCCGGAAGCCATGAGGGCAACAGCCCCAGCTACCACGGTTTGTCTACAGGTGTGTCTTCAAGTGAGCAATCAGCCAGGTCGTCTTCAGGAGTCAGCATTATTTCAGGGCTGTTGTTACACCTGAACCTGATCCTAACTTGATTCAGAAAGTTCATAAAGTAGAAATTCAAAACTAAGCCTCTTCATCCTATTTGCATAATCCACAACGGGCATTTAACTAAACATATCTTACAAAGTTTGTTGTTTTTGTTTTGTTTTCCTTTTTCTTCCCCAAATTCACTTTGTACCTTTACTTTCTCCCAAAAGAAAAAAAACCAACACATAATTTCTATGATTTATTGTGCAACTGAACATGCTAAAAGACAAAATGACATTTTCCCCTACAAATTATTTGGTGCCTGTGATTTTCTGAACACTACAGCCAGATGGTTCTCATAGAAATTGAAAAGAGTGTATTCACATAGTTCAAAGGTTTGCTTATTTTTTGGTCTCAAAAAGACTATATTGATTGTAACGTGCAGCTTACAGGAAAAATCTCGACAGCGGAGGCGAGTGCTGATATTTATGACTGCACTTGTGCTCATTACGGCTGTCTCTGACAGGGGTCCATTAAAATCAATTTTTATGTTTCTTATGTATTTTCTTTATCTAATGTTCTTGGCATTGTGTTTATTAGCCAGTTAAGAGAAACACCAAGCATAGGAGTGGGTGTTTTTTTTCTTCTTGTCAGAAATAACAAGACCTACAATTTTAATAGAATGAACGGAGGAAATTAAATGTTACATTTCAAAGCAAAACATTAAGGAGTGCTTTACATTTTTTGTTTTTGCAGTTAGAGAAATACAGTGGGAGCTGTTCACAAAAACAGAGAAATGACAAGACCCTAAAGCCATGCTGAAAAGGGGCTTTCGGGCCCTTCCCCAGGCAGGGCTGTCCTCAGCCACACCCGCGCCAAGGGTCTGACCAGGGCTTTCAGAGGGCAAGTGGGCCTCCTGGTTAAGGAATTCCAGAACATCAAGCAGTCCTAGTATGAAAGTCACCTGGCAGACTCTGGCGGAACAGGGAACTCTGGTCTGGATTTTTCTTTTTTTTTAATCAAGATTAATCCTGTATCTCCCTGTCTCTAAATTTCTAGAGACATATGCTGAAGAACCAAAATGTTCAATGCTCATCACCAACCAACTCCTCTGTAAACGTACACATTAATCAAACATCTTGGAGCTACTAATGAAAGGGTATGAAGGGCATGGCCCTGGGTTCATCGGAGGCGGAGGGCTTCTGGACAACACACAGGGAAGCTGCAAATGCAGGAGCCATCGCAGCATGCTGTTTTGAGCGACAGGCTCGTGGCTGTGGTTGCGGGGGTAAGGCTATGTGTTACCCTGTGATCGATGGAAAACAAGCAGTTGTCACATATACTCCTCGGCCGCTTCAGCATGTGCAGTATACGGGATCATGCAGGTTCATACTTACTCAGCTTTAGGCGTCCCCTTGCCCAGGAGCTTTATTTCGTGCAGACCCTGCTCACAACCAGACAGCTCCAGCTTCCCCAGAGGGCTGTCCAGTACGGTGCGTTTCATTTCACAGGCCTTGTCCATTTTTCCAAGTACCTAAACAGAAACAGTTTTTAAGACAAAGTGTATATGAAGAGGCTGGTCGTATATGTAACACAACAGAAGTGCTGGTTATTTAAGACACAAAATATATTCCAAAGCTTTTTCCTCATTTTTGGAATTATATGATGCGTCATTTTTACAATATGGTTACTGGGAAGACAGAAAATTACTACAATTACCTAGAGCAGCCAACCAATACTACAATCTCCTGTTTTTTCCTAAAATTACTGTATCCCGATTCTTCTTGTTTATCTTAAACCAATGCGTCATTGAAGGAAGCTGACCTGGTAAGAGCTCCTTTTAAATAATACCCACAACTAAGCTCACTTTGTTTTACTAAAACAATTAATAAAACAACTACCATAAACAATAAATCCCAAAGACAAACTGTTCAATATTTGGAATAAAGTACATTTTAGAATGAAGCTTGTATGCAATGACTTACAGAAAGATTCAACTCAGCACCTACGCCACGACACCTGTGTTAGGAGCCAGCCCGAGAGGATGAGCAATACGGGGGTAAATTAAATGTGCTGTGGAGAGCACATTTAATTTACATTTAAAGAGATGTACAAGGCTGGGTGCAGTGGCTCATGCCTGTAATCCCAGCACTTTAGAAGGCCGAGAGGCTGGGCGCAGTGGCTCATGCCTGTAATCCCAGCACTTTGGAAGGCCGAGACAGGAGGATCACTTGAACTCAGGAGTTGAAACCAGCCTGGGCAACGTAGCAAGACCCTGTCCGAAAAGAATTAAAATTAGCGGGGTGTGATAGCACACACCTGTAGTTCCAGCTGCTCAGGAGGCTGAAGAGCAGAGCCTGAGGAATACGGGGGAACACATCCATAGGCTACCTTTACACTTGTACATTTCTTTCTCTATTTTTTAGAGACGAGGTCTTGCTCTGCTGCTCAGGCTGGAGAGCAGTGGTGTAATTCTAGCTCACTGCAGTCTTGAACCATAGGCTTTAGCGATCCTCCCTCTTCAACCTCCTCAGGCACTGGCTCTTGCTATTTTAGCTCTGTCCTCTCACTGCCACAGCTTCCCAGGAAGACCCACAGCAGCTCGTGGCTACTTAAGGAAGGCCGTCCTCATGGCTCCCATCACACCTGGGTTCTTCCCACTCCAACCCAATCACCAGCAATCAAAGCTCACTGAGAACAACAAAGCAAGGGCTACCTACATTAAGGGGCTGGAGCAGGGGCAACAAACTAGAGCCCGTGGGGCAAATCTGACTCACTGCACCTGTCTTTGTAGATAAAGTTTTATTGAGACACAATTGTGTTCATTTATTCATACACAGTCTCCTGCTGCTTCTGTGCTGCAGCCGCAGAGGTGAGCAGTTGTGACAGAGGCAATGTGGCCCTGCAAGCCCACAACACTGACTCTCTAGCCCTCTACAGAAAAGGCCTGAGGACTCCTGGAAGGGCCGCTCACTGGCACCTTCCCACTCTGTTCCCACACTGAAGCGGTTGTGAATCACGCATGCATCTCAAATCTCTGCGCCTTCACTAAAGACCCCCTCCCTGCCTGTCTGCTGGGCACCTTGCTGCCTGGTCTCCTCTCCTGTGAAAGCCTCCACCAGCCCTCCAGCTGATCTTCCCTTTCTGTGTCTTCCACACGCTCCTAAGGCCACACTTTGGTTCTCTCATCTGTCTTCCCAAGAACGAGAGAGAGGTGCATTTACGTCCCTTAACGGGAGCAAGGTCGGGCAGCAGACCCCAAACTACACAAGCGTTTTCTAGAAGCATTACTCTCAAGATTCAATCCTAAACCATCACACTCCAGAGCTGCCTCTACAACCTCCCCTTTTCTGTGCAGATTGACAGGGATTTGAACCGTATCCCAATCAATCGCCCCAGGATATGGATACGGGATGTGCCGGAAACCATGCCCCATCGGAGAGGCTCTGCCCACATCACACTCCTTCAACATCTCACCCTGCAGCCTCCCTGCTGCCTCAAGGGTAAAAACCAGGCTTCCCGGGAGGGCAAAGAGCCCTGTGGAAGGAGCCACCTGCCTTCCACTTACCACGTGGCAGAGGCCAGATAAAGGCAGGGGGTGCAAATCACGGCTTCCCGCCCACTGTCCCGTTGCTGTGAGAAGATCACTCTCGGTGCTTCAACTGTTTTTGTCTGTAGGGTAAATCACACCAAATCACAATGTCGGCACGAGTTTAGAGGGAACACATGCAAAGACCAGGCCTCCCAAAGGCTCTGTAGGATTTGGGGATCACTGTTGTTCCCACCACAATCAACATTTTAACCCAACCCCCTCTGCTCCGACCTCATCCCCTGGAGCACACTGCCCCTCTCCCCCGAGTCTCATTGAAAGCACCGCCATTCCGCCCTTGCTTCCAAGGTGACTGCCTCCCCTTCTCCCATCTCCATCATTTCTCAGAGCCACAATCTCGGTCCCCAGCCTCAGCCCTGCCCCTGCAGACATCTCCCACCACCCGGGGCCACTGCTTCTCAGGCAGGGTGCCGGCGGCTCTGCTCGGGACCGCCTGAAGAACAGCACGCATCACATACACAAGGGGCTCATAAAATAGTTGTGGAACTGAATTACCAGTGTGACCACCATCCAGGCCAAGCATCCATGACAGCACTTCCCAAAGTGTGTTCACAGAAGATACTGCTCAGACAACAGGGCTCTGGAGGCAGCGTGAGAAATTGGGATGTTCTCTCGCCACTTCTTGGAAACTTGCCCTGCATGGCGGTGGGTTACAGCTTCCAGCAGACTGGCTGTAAAGGGGCCAGCTTAGGTTTTGCTCTCTCAAATGTGGTTCTCCACGGAGCCACGTTTGCTGCTCTATCATCCCAGTTCGGGCAAGGCTGCAGGCTGTCAGAGTCAGGAGGCCTGGGCTGGGCTCTGGACTCAGGTGGGGAGCGTGGCCAGCCCCGAGCACCTGCATCAGGCAGCACTCTCAACAGCAGGTGTCAGAAACGGACACGGGCTAATTTAAGCACAAATGCCGTTTACTGAAAGGCTACTCCACAACTCAGAGAACTTCTGGGAAGGCTGGAGGAGCAGGCTCAGAAAATAGTAGGAACCAGAACTGGCCACGCTCCAATCACAGCCAAAATCAAGCTTCAGGAAACATCTGTGGGGCAACCAGGCACAGCAGGCATGGCAGCTGGCACTGTTGCCACCGTTGCCCCTGGAAACAGGATGTGGTGGCTATGGCCACCGTTGATTCTCGGCTGCTCTGCCTCCGTGGGACTTGCTCCTGATTTGAGTCCCAGGCAGGAGCCCAGCCTTGGTGCTGACGCCCACCAACATGTGCCAGTGTCCGAGCAGCTGCAGGAAGGGACGGCCTGGGAGAGGAAGGGTTTGCCCATGTCAGTGCCTGAAGCTCCACTGCAAACATTCTGACTGGGGAGTGCCCCATGTGGGGACTGGTCAGATACTAGCTGCCCACTCCTCTCCCAAGCCTCTATTTTCTCATCAATAAGACCCCTGACTCCTCTACCTGACAGTGCCACTCTGAGGATCTAACCTGAGACGGCCACGGCCCGGGCTTCAGGTACTACACACCGTGAAGGGCTGGAAGGGCTGTCATGCCATTCTGCACAGACCACACCTCGAGTTCACCCCCAATCCAAGCATCAGCCAAAGGGGAAGACATTGGAGCGTGCAGAGACAGGGCCAGGGAGAAGGGCAGGAGCCTGGGAAGGCCACTGGGGGTGAATCCCAGCGAGCTGAAGGAGGGGCATGCGGGATGGGGTGTCCTCCACCCAGAGGAAGGAGCAGGGCGGTGGAGGGCCACAGGCAGCTCAGCCCCGACAGCCTTCCAGAGAGAAGAGTCCTCGAGGTTATCAGGGTCTGGGTCCTGACCACAAGAAGCTAAACGCGGGAGGCCAGTGGCTAGGAATGCGGTGGAGAAGCCTTCCAGCCAAACCTGGTTGGCCAAGTGAACTGCCTGCCCTGGAATGACCAACCCTGCACCCCAGAGAGCACCTCCACCCAGGAAATGCCCAAGGACCCCGGCTGCTGGTCCAAGGGACCCTAAAGCTCTGGCACATTCCCGATTGTGCCTTGCGGTGCTATCGCCATGACCAGCATCACGGCATGGGCCTCTCAGCCAAAGGGCAGGCTGGCCTCAAGCCCTAGGAACCAGCTCCCCTGGCCAGCAAGGGTGGCCTGAAGCCACAGGAACACACTGAATCAATCACAAAGCAGGGAGTTGCGGGGACCAGGTCAGCTCCATCCAAATCATTCCAAGAACCAAAAAAAAGGCAACCAGTTTATAACTGCAATAATGAATGAGTTCAGAATCTGACTTCCAAATGAGCAACAGATTCCAGCTCCTGTCCATATCCAATCGGCTGATTATTGAGGCACGTGAAGCCTGCCTCATTTCACCTGAACATGACAATGAGCTGGAACATGCCCCCCCAACCAAGAGCAAACCTCCCACAGAGGCCTGCAGAAATGGAATTGGATACGCTGCTGAAACCTGCATACTACCTTTTTTTCCTGTAGACAACCAGAGCATTTGGCAGAGTTCTTCTGTGGGCAACAGTAGACGTTAGTTTAGTGCCGATTCCTAAAATGCAATGGCTGAGGCCTCTACAGGACAGAAGTCCCAGGCCACCGAGCACGGCAGCATCTCTGATGCGATGCCCAGAGGCCCAGGGCTGACCTAGCAGGTGTGCACACCGGGCCACCAGAGAGGTGGGGGGATGCCTGCAGACTAAATGGGGGCATCACAGACACTAGGAGGGACCCACAAAAGCCAGAAATCAGGCAGTGAGAAAAGTGAGTTTCAATAGCATGAAAACATGACGGGAGTGAAACCATCGCAACTCAGCCAGGTGGGTGGCTCAACTTAGAAGCCAAGATACCAGACACATAAAGGCTGGCACAGCAGTGCCCTGGACAGGTCACAAGCAGCCATAAAGGCAATAGTCCCTCTCCCAACACGCCGCACAGCAATTCCGCCATGCCCAGACTCGGGAAGAAAGACGTCCGGCTCCAGTGATGAGATCCCATCA